AAACGAGAACTGGTGAGAATACGACCAAAAAAATTGAAACATAAACGAGAATTGGCGAGAATACGACCAAAAAAATAGAAACATAAACGAGAATTGGCGAGAATACGACCAAATAATAGAAACATAAACGAGAATTGGCGAGAATACGACCAAAAAAAATAGAAACATAAACGAGAATTGGCGAGAATACGACCAAAAAATAGAAACATAAACGAGAATTGGCGAGAACAACCAAAAAATAGAAAGATAAACGAGAATTGGTGAGAATATGACCTTACTTATTAATACAACGTATGATTGATGCTTTTATATGTAACGATATCAAAATGCGCCATATTACACGCGACGGTGGGGAGCCCCCCCCCCAAGAGAGCGCGAGTAACTATGACAACAGGAGCATACAAATTATATCTGAAAGTGCAAATTTAAAGATAGAGGTTTTAAAACCTAACATTACTACTATTAAGTAATATAGTAAAAACAATTAACATGGGAAAATGACATACAGTATATAGGTAATAGGGGGTACGGGGGGTGGCGCAACAAAACGCATGCTCAGAAAGGGGAGGGGCAAAGATTGCATACCACTGGTCTAGATTACGTGTGGTACGTAAAAATACTGGAGCAAATGTCACTGTCCAAATTGCCAATAGCAGATCAGCTCCAACCCCTTTCGTTCCTCGCTTGTCGTGGTTCGACCCACAGTCGCTAAATGGGTGAAGGACAGATAGCACGTCATAAAACGTCATTTTAGTCCATTACGTTTGTAACTGGAACTGCGATTCAAAACAAATTCGACAAAAAAAAGAATTGATTAATGATCACAGTAACTGCAAAAGTTTCAATGAGTAAAATCAGACGTTGTCATGGCAACAGTTAGCCACGCCCAGCATAACCATCTCTGCTAAATTGTTCATTTTGCGAAAAGCTAGCGTTAGCCGTTCCTAATTTTGAAGTGGTAGACCAGAGAAAAGGCAAGTAATCAACACCAATCACCGTCAGCTCTTGGGCTACTCTTTACTAATGAATATTGGGATTGACCGTCACATTAAAACGCCCTCACGGCTGAAAGGGCAAGGAGGGGGACGGGATTTGATCCCGCGACCCGCAGATTGCGAGTAGAATACCCTGACCACCAGGCTTCATCTGAGAATAAGAAACATTCCTGCTTATTGTCTCTAATTAATTGACTGTTCTTCCTATGACAATCGACTTTTGAAACATTCTACGTCTTGCTACATCTAATGTTCAGAATCTGACCCCAAAGATATTTAAACATGGCGTTTTTATCTATCGGCTTTTCTTATGGACAGAATTGAACGTGTTAAACTTTCAGTTAATGTTATGATACAACGAGAATGAAAGTAATATATTATTTTATAATTTTTTTAAAGAAAGGTAAAAAAGAACAACAACAACAACACACACATTATATGCTACACTTGGCTACTGTAGTATTTTTTTCCCCGCGTTTAATTGGAATTGAAAAGAAATTATTTATCACAATGTCGAATGTGTTGACAGTTTGATCAGTACCACGACTGGATATTTCATTTGCAGGAGTCTAAATACGTGGTAATAACAAAGCTATGTTTCAAAGCCTTTGTTGCTCCAAAGAGCTTCTTATCGGATAGACGTAACACCAAACACCATCCAGGAGAAGCACAAATTAACAAGATACAAAACTTATCAGTTGTTATTTTTCATACGACAACTAAAACAGAGATAAAAAGACAACATAGCCGTGGAGAGCTTTTAGTTTCGATTGCCATTTCAGAAAAACTATGAAAAAATTAATAGATTATTCATCTTTGGAGTCTCAAATAACAGATGGACATCAAACTATAATAAGTATATCATAAACCACGTATTAAAGAAAAAAAATTGGGTTCTTCGCTGTAAGAAAAGGCTTATAAGCTAAACTAAATTTCACACTCATGTTGTATTGAAGATATGAACAATAACATTATGAAATACAAAACTTTCTGTGGTACGTAACTTAAGAAAGTTTTAGCAACCATATTTCTCCAAAACCTCAGTTTTTTGTTTTTTTTACCAGATCAGTCTGTTTTTAAACACTTTGTGATAAATCTGCGAAACTTGAAAAATCTCTTCTGCTCTTATAACGAAACATTATGTGTGGTTATTATTATTATTTTTATACACATGTTGTTTCAGCGCAAAGCTGCACAATGGGCTATCTGCACTATGTCCACCGTGGAGAATCGATCCCAGGATTTTAGCATTTTAACTCCATAAACATACCGCTGACCCACCAGGGGACTTTTATGCACATGAGGATCCTCTGAACATATTGCCACAATCACAACGTTAAAAATATAAAAACTCGTGGATTGTGTTACTTTGACACAACAATAATATAAAAGCATAAAACCTTTATATGAGGACTATATGACTTTAAATGTCGAATAAAATAGAAACAAAAACACGTATTTAACTTGATGAAACACCACGAAATCAAATGTTCGAAACAGCAACAGATGATTAGCAAGTCTTGCAAGAACTTATATTAATTCGTGTTCTTCAAAAAAAACAAACACATGATTAGCTAGTCTTGCAAGAACTTATATAACTCGTGTTCTTCCAAAAAATCAAACGTTTGTTTTTTTGGAAGAACACGAGTTATATAAGTTCTTGCAAGACTTGCTAATCATGTGTTGTTTGTTTTTTGGAAGAACACGAGTTAATATAAGTTCTTGCAAGACTTGCTAATCATGTGTTGTTTGTTTTTTGGAAGAACACGAGTTAATATAAGTTCTTGCAAGACTTGCTAATCATGTAAACAGATAAACATAAAAATAACCTTTTTTTTTTCATCATTGTAGAAGCCACCTGGTCAACAGGATTATATACAGCTGCCAAAACTTGCAAGAAGAAAATAACCAAGAACACCTTACTAAAACCGTTTAACCATTTGTTAAGATTATCCATTAAGCTACTGTACTACTAAACACCTGTAGATAATTCGAAAGCAGCTAATTAGTAATGATAATTAAAAACATAGTGTTTTAATTAGTTCATATATCAATTGTCGTGAAAGTAGGGTATATCATTGATATTATTTCATCAGGAAAAGAACGTTAATGATACTGGATGAAAACAACTTATAGCATGTTTCAAACCGATGCTACTGAAATCTTTGTAGTACTATTTGAAATATTCAAACATCTATAGAACTAAACTACAAAATATCAACATTTTAAATAACGTATTTTCACTTTAAAAGATGAGACTATAAAAAAAAAAAACATTTCTCACTTATACTTGAGAAGTGGAAAAGTGAAATTTTTGCATTGAAGTAATCTAAGCATATCGAGAAACTGGCATACGGATAACTTTAGGAGTGAATGAAAACAATGGATAACGATCATTATTAGATTCTGTAAGTTCCAAAGTGAAGGACAGCTTTTACAGAAATTAGCAAAGTTAGAAACACGCACTCTGCAGTCATGGTTTCTATATCAATATTTTAGACAACTAGCAGTCACTTCAAAGTTAAAAAGTCATGTGCTTTCCTCTTACGTACACAGTTCATTACTATATATTTAGACCATTCACGGTTTCGTCGGTGACTCGAAAACATATACGTCATAAAACTTGTAAGTTCACACCTCCCCCACCTATCCTTTCAAATCAGCTATTCACAGTAAACAGTACCAGAACGAGTGATGTAATAGTTTGGTGTGAATAACTTTCCTCCATCTTTTATCCAGAAGAGTCACTTATTATCCATCTTCTAATCAGAAGAGTCACTTATTATCCATCCTCTAACCACAAGA